TGAGCATCATCCCCGATGCCGGCCCATCACAGATGTGCTCCTTGTTGATCTTCTCAAAGAGTTTCCCCAGGATTGAGGTAAGACTGATGGGCCTATAGTTGCCCAGGTCCTCCCTCCTCCCTTTCTTAAAGATGGGGACCACATTGGCTATCTTTCAATCATCTGGCACCTGGCCTGAGCACCATGAGTGCTCGTAAAGCCGTGCCAAGGGCCCAGCAATAACCTCTGCTAGCTCCCTCAACACCCTGGGGTGGAGAGCATCTGGACCTGCTGACTTGAACACGTCCAGCCCCTCCAGAAGCACTCTAACCCGGTCCTCCTCAACCTTAGGTCTTAAGGCATTTCCCTCAAGTCTGTCTTTAAACACGGTGGGGGAGTCCCGGTCCCTGCACAAGAAAATGGAGGTGAAGAATTTGTTAAAGAGGTCTGCCTTCTCCTCTGGTGCAACCACCAGATTGCCCAGTGCATCTTGCAGGGGCCCCACATTTTCCAGTGCCTTCTTCATCCTCCCTATATATTTGAAAAAGGACTTTTTATTATCTTTGATCTTGGACGCTAGTCCTAGCTCTATTTCCACCTTAGCTTTCCTAAGAGCCCCCCTACAGGCTTGAGCAGTGGAGGTATACTCTTCTTTGTAGATACCTCCCCTTTCTATCGGGTGTACTCCGCGGTTTTTTCGGAGGCTTTCGGGCACTCTTGCCCCCCTTGCTTCTTGTTGGAATTGTCACCCCTTGGGCCCTGAGTATCGTCTCCTTAAGGAACGACTACTCATCTTGGGCACTGAGTTCCCCTGCCCTCGAGAGCCCCAGCACCTCTCCCACCAATCTCCTCAACTCGTTGAAGTTGGCCCTCTTGAAGTTTAGGGCTACTGCCTTGCTGCAGGCCCTTGACACCCTGCGCTTGATGATGAATTCCTGCAAGCGATGATTGCTGTCACCCAGGTGGTCAAGGACCTGGAGCCCCCTTACCAGATCATTGCCTGTGGCCAGGACCAGGTCCAACAGGGCATTTGCTTGTACGTTGGAAATTGGGTCCATGCCAGAATCCCAGTGTCTCTCTGTCTCTCTCTAACTTAATTGTTCAAATCGACTGAATTAAAACCTTCAGATTTGATCTCTTCTCAGACTTTTCCTTTGAGTGCTTGTCCATACGCACATTCTCCCTTTATTTTTTTTCACTCTAGCAGCACCCGTACAGGATGCATGTGCCCTGCCTCTCCTCATCCTCTGTCCCCAGGACACAAAGGGTGATGTGTGCTTTTGACCCCTCAGTTCCCTTTGTCTGCCTTGTCCCCAGACAGTGCTTTACCAGTCCGATCCAGACTGGTTCTTGCCCAGCAGCTGCTCTCAGAATCTGCTGATGCTTTACTTCTAGCCTATACTCAGTGGTGGCAGATGACAGAACAAGGAGCAGTGGTCTCAAGTTGCAGCAAGGGAAGTTTAGGTTAGATATTAAGAAGAATTTTCTCACTAGGAGGGTAGGAAAACACTGGAACAGGTTACCCAGAGAGGTGGTGGAAGCTCCATCCTGGGAGATTTTCAAAACCCAGCTAGACAAAACTTGGGCTGGGAAGATCTAGCTGGGGCTGGTCCTGCTTTGAGCAGGGGGTTGGACTGCATGACCTCCTGAGGTCCCTTCCAGCTTTCTATGATTCTGTGATTCCCCTTAATTTTTGGATCAACTTCAGTTAGTTACGTGATTTCTCTTTTTTTTTTTTTCCCCCTAGTTTGCATCATCCTTTAGTAAGACATAAGGTTCCCATGGTCTACACCATACAGCTTCTCTAGATAAGTGAGGGTCTGTGTCCCCATTTTTTCACTTTTACTGGGTCTCATTCTTCTTGTGGCCACTTGTGGGTTTTGATGAAGCTCAGAAACATCCTGGCACCAAAGTCCTAGCACTGATGTCTGGTTTTAGAGAGTCCATTTTACCTCATCACTAACTGGGAAGCACAAGAATAAGTGCATGAAGCACTACTGTGACCTCTCCTTTGCCATTTATTCATCATGGATCAGATGCTTCAGTACCTGCAGTGGCTACTTCACTCCCTCAGCAGCCATCAGCTTTCCCATGCCATCCAGTAGTGCTGATATCTCCAGAGGTGTTGCTTTGTTTCATTATACGGAACATTTTTTGACTGTCCAGCCAGACCTGGAGGCCTGGACTTGCTTTCTCTAGTCTTGCTGACACCAGTATCAGATCCGTCAGGTCTGCAAGGGGGAACCAGTCCAGTCCCCTTTTCCAGGCTCGTTCAAGCCACCAATTGATGTGTTTTCATCAGACTCTTCCTGTGATGCTCAGGATTCTAGCCATGCTTATCCTCTCACTTTCTTTCATAACAGTGGCAACACTTTTGGAGAGAAGCTGCTGTCTCGTGTTTCCTGGTTTCCAATTCATTGGTCTTGGAGGCTTTTCCCTAAATTTTGATGTGACCATTTTGTCCGTAGGTTATTGTTTATAGGGACATTCCAGAGATATGGCTCAGTAGCTGGAATAGCATTTCAATGCTGTAACATTATAGCTTCCCCAACCCTGGAATAATTATCTAGAAACAGTGTCCAGGATGGGAGGGGCTTTCAGTCTCTAACCTGCTACTTCCTTCACCCCTTAAAGAGGCTGAAGGTCAAGAAGGGCCACAGCTGGAGACCGGCAGGGTTGGAGAACCCATGGATGTCAACTAGCTTAGGAGAAGGGCCATGCTTGCCAGGAGTTTGGTCTTACATTAAGCACCAAGAAGACAAATGCTGTGGGCCATAAAGTTCATAATAGGTGAAAACGTATTGGCTGTTGCAAGTAAATTTATGTACCTTGGCTCTGTTGTTACTAACAACCTGTCACTTGAGGCTAAACTGAATACCCCTACTGGCAAAGCAATCAGGTATCCTGACCACATTGAGTAAAAAAGTATGGATCAACAACAAGCTGATAGACAGGGTCAAAGTAGACCATGCTTGCATCATCAACGTTCTTTTGTATGGTAGCGAATCCTGGACTATGAATTCTATCCAGAAAAGCACCTCAGAAGTTTCTACTTAGGTTGACTTTTTCACATTCTCGGAATTTGCTGGCAGGACAAAGTTGCCGACGCTGAGGTCTTGGAACATGCCAACATCCTGAGCATCCCTTCTCTTCCCCGTCAGCATCAGCTTCAATGGCTTTGTCATATGCAGAGAAAGGATGGTGGCTTTATACCTAAGGATCTTTTGTATGGAGAACTTCTTATAGGAAGAAGACCATGCAGGTGTCCATATCTCTGTTTCAAAGATGCTTGCAAGAGAGAGAGATGAAGGCAATGAACATTGAGTCAAGCAACCAGGAGGAGATTGCCAAGGATCAAGGCACTTGTAAACAGTTTGTTAAGCATAGAATAAAGGCTTTTGCAGAAAGAAGAGCCAAGCCTGCAGGGGAAAGAAGAAACCTCAAGAAGAACCCCACACCAGGTCCAGGACTGTTAGATACAAACGTCACACATGATAAGTGCAGAAGGAACTACCATTCAAGGATTGGACTGCAGCCACACTCACAGATATTCAATATGCTGATACCATGGTGCAGTTCTGTTATCTCATGAGACAGATGCCTATACCATTATGGAGTCTTCCAGAGCAGAAGTTGTGTTTTGGTAAAGGAGTCCTGCAATAATTTTGTTTCGGACTCCAGACTTCAGGTGAATTCACCTATGAGAGAATGTGTATCTAGCGCTAGATGGTGAAAGAAGTTACTAGTCAGTAACTGGAGTTCTTTGAGCTCTTGTTGTCTATGGGCATATTGCACATCTTGTTCTCCTGTTCATCTTTCTCCGAGTCTCTGGATTTTGTGGTTGAGAGGAAATAAAGGGGTAGGAACCAGTCGTTAACACATGATGGAGTATTGTTAGGAGTGCTTGAGGTACATGTGTCAGGTATCCAGGTTGGAGCTGTATTGTACACATGGGGAACACATCTCAAAACTGTTTAGTTGTTTAATTTCTCTTTGAACTCAAAAATCTGGTTCCTTCTCATACCCTGTCACAAATTCATACTTTGACCTGACCTGCAAGCTTCGCTCTCTAGGGCTTTGTTTTCATCCCAGCTCTGGTGCTAATAGAATTTTTTTATTCTTCTCTCTTTCCAGGCCACAGAAACAGAAACCAAAGTTGCAGTGTGCACCAGGGCTTACCATCTCCTTGTGGAAAAAGTGGGCTTCAATCCAAATGATATAATATTTGACCCAAATATTCTGACTATAGGTACTGGAATGGAAGAACATAACCTGTATGCAGTTAACTTTATGAAGGCAACAAAAACCATAAAAGTAAGTTTTTTTTTGTAATTTTCATTTTATTTATCAGAACTCCTTTAAAAATCCCCAGTGCTCCAAAAGAATTGACGGCCTAAATTAATTCACAAAGATAGCTATTTTTGTGAACTGTATAAGCTTCTCAACATTGCTGTGTTTCCAGTAGAACAAAATTATACAGTGCTCTAAATATAATCTAATCCATTAACTGTACTGTAAATATACTTACATTAATTAAATCGGGCAACAAGCACATTCAGTAGTTGTGGCCAAAAGACCTCTCTCAGGACATGTGAATGCTGCCTCATTTAATTAATGTAAGTTCAGTTATTGTGAATGGACTACATCCCTTTGAAGTCCGTTATAACTTATCTTTATATTTAGTTAAAGTGCATTGGCCGGGAAGTACAGTAATGAAGGGCATTGCTTGAATACAGCCACGTGACCCATTCTGCGTTTTATATTTAAAGGGGTAACATGATGGGTCCACTTATTGCCAGTCCAAACAAATGGAGGGAGTGGGTACACAGAAAGCTATCCAATCTCCACCATGTAGCTGAGGGACCAGCAGATTTGCGGAATGTAGACTGGCTTAGTGTTCTTTTATGAGAAATCTCCAACCCTGTGCGTATAGAAACAGTCCAAACAAAATGAAGCTGCCTATGGTAGTAGTGAGCATGGAGGAACCATTCCAAGCCTTGTTATAGGGACGTGGACTGGGGCTGTTTCTTATCCTAGTTGGGGGTCTGTTAGAGAGGAATGGACCAATAAGCTGCTCTCTGAAAGGGAGGCAAATCAAATGAAATAGGTGATAGGACATCAGACCTGGGCAGCTGAGGTGCTGGAGAGGCAGTGCATCACATTGATTCGTGTGGGAGCAGTAAAAGGATGTTAGAACATTTTGTAGTTTTGAAAAATTTGGTAGCCAATAAGAATATCTGACAGAAGAGAGATTTTTGTGGAATTGCCTCCTCCTTAATACCCAAACTGCAGTTTATGTCCAGAAAAGCAGTTTATCTGAATGACTCCATCCCAAGCAGTAATCTCACCGGCAAGCATTCAGTGAAAAGATTTGGAGTGCTGAGAACTGCATGGGAATAACTGAGGTGGAATCAGGGGAAGATCTTCCATTGTATTCATTACAAGCAGGTCTTTGTTGCTACAGGGGACAATGGAGAAGAGCAGTGCATGGGACTTCTAGCACCTCACAGGGCGCATGTACACAAGACACTACTGCACAGTAGCTCACTGTTACTGTGCAATAGCATGGCCTGGCACTAACCATGCAGCAATGATACCTCATAGTAGTAATGAGCTACTGCGCAGTAGTAACAAGCTACTGTGCAGCAGCATTGGGGGAAAAAAACATGCGGCGATGGTGCTGCGCAGTAACTGGTGTACCTGGTGCTGCGCAGTCATTTAGTACTTGCTTATGCAAGTGCTAAATGATGGTGCAGTAACAAATGCACAGTCCGCCACTCACGTAGATGTGGCCACTGTATTCAGTCTACCAGTTGTGGTTCTGTCTTCCCCCTGTCTTCCTTTGTGAGTCATGAAGGGTATCCACTAAAATTTCTCTCCCATAGGTGAAGGCAGCAGAATCCTCATTCAGAGTCTGCTGCTTTTCTGCTTCCCATTATCAAGCCTTCAGCTTTGCAGATGCTTTTAGCCCAATAATAATCTCTTCCCTCCAGCTCAAAAATAGGATTTAGTTAGTACGTCCATGACCATGATGATTTAAGACTCTTTGTAGCCAAAAAAAAAAAGCGGGGGGCAAATGTTGAATTGGAACTTTGCCAAAACATAGGATTGGCAGGCACTTCCTGAGTCTGAGACTAGCTCCCTGCTGTTGCAGGCCACTGTCTCATCTCTGTGGTAAACAGCTCAAACTCCATCTTCAGGTGTTAACATGTTGGATCCTTCTTTACTGCATTTTAGCCAATTTATTTTTTCTCTCTCTCTTTTTTTATAAAGCAGAAGCTGTTAAACTTTTTTCAGAGTGTGAGCCCCATCTCAGAAGGCCAACCGTCTACTGCAGCAGCTCTGTTCCCATTTGCTTTAAAGTCTCCTTTTTCCAGTCACTCATTCACCGTAGCACCTGTCTTTTTGGAGACTTCTTGGGAAGCTTTGCCTGTGTGTGCCTAGGCTGACTCTGAGGCCCCCTCTACTCATTGCATGTATTATGTATGCAGTTGCCTGGTTAATTGCACAATTAATTTAGACTGGCTGCACATGCATATTAAGTTTGGCATCTTAAAAAAGGTCAACCAGCTATAAAGTTATTGCTGGAAAATATGTAATAACTTTTATAACTGGTTTCTATCCAGCTTTAATTTGCACATGTAACCTGTGCTCCTGTCAGCTGATCAGAGCTCCCAGATGTGGGGGGCCCATGTATACCCCTGAGCCTGGTAGCTCCCAGCTGAGGGGGTTACCAGATGCGGGAACTTGCTTCTTTCTGGTGCAGGGTGAAGCCAGGATTGGGTTCTTCTTGCACCAGCACTCAGATGCAATGGGATCTAATTCAGGATCCCACAATTACATCTCCTGCCATGCACGTGTGGCATGGAAGGAGGTGCGATTGTGTAGATTGCTCAGCTGTTAGATCCCGTCATGCCTTTACCTGCCTGTGTAGAAGGAGCCTTAGTTTCATATCTGTGTGGAAGAGTCTGGTTAACTGTGAAAGTGACTTGAACCAATGAGAGAAACTGAATTATTGTTGTCCCATGAATTCCTGGCACTCCACAACCCAAGTGCACAGTGCTTGGTGTATAATTTGTGCCCTCTCTTTGAAAACTATTTTGGTAAATTTTGAGCTTGCTGAAGTTTTCATTCTGTTGCTAGGAAACGTTGCCAGGAGCCAGAGTTAGTGGAGGCCTTTCCAATCTGTCCTTCTCCTTTCGGGGGATGGATGCCATTCGAGAAGCAATGCATGGAGTTTTCCTTTATCATGCAATTAAGGTATGTGCTTTCTGTTGGTCTTACTTGTGCTCTGCAGTCTTGTGGTCTTTTATTCATAAAAATCTGGGGGTTTCTTTCAGTATGGCATGGACATGGGAATAGTGAATGCAGGGAATCTTCCAGTATATGACGATATACCTAAGGATCTTCTAACTTTGTGTGACAACCTTATATGGAATAAAGACCCAGATGGCACAGAGAAGCTATTGCGTTATGCCCAGGTAACTTTCACTTTTCTGTCTTTTGTATACCAGTTAGATTGTGACATTTAAGCACTGACCACCAGATAAATTGAAACACACAAACTACGTAAAGCTTTCAAGGGTGATAAGAAAAAACACCGTTGTTGTTGCAAGCCGTCCAGTTACCAAAGGAAACCAAAAGAAGCGAGCCAGGCACCCCAATGGATTGCACCATATTACATCATATCCTGAAGGTCCACAAAACTATCCTTCCAGCTGCTAAGGAGAGTTTGTTGCAAAGGCACCTTCTAAAGGAATATTGCTGCAAAATTATACTGTAGTTTGGGGGAAGGAGGGTAGAAGCTACCTGCTAGATGAAGAGGGCAGGTTTTGTTGTGCCAACAACAGAAAGTTTTTTTTTGGGGGGGGGAAGATAACATCTTATATCTGCTGAAAGGAGCGCCTTTGGTTAAAGCACTAAAATTAAATTCAGTCCTGGATTCAGTTCTCAGTTGTACCATAGTCATCCTGTTTGTTCAGGTTCTTGGTTTAGGCTAACTGTGTGTATGTAAAAATACTCCCTAAACTATTTTTTTGAAAGGGTGTTTTGGAAAGACATACTTTAATATTTGTGAGATGTTCTGATGATGGGTGGCGATTGTAAAGGAACCTAAATAGAAGATGGACTGTGTGGGCATAGAAACAAATGGCAAAATT